AAGCCTTTCTTGATAGGGATTGGGGCTTGCAATTGTTTCCCATGAACGAGGAATTCCCAGTAAGTGCAAGTCATCAGCTTGCGCTGACTACGTCCCTGCCCTTTGTACACACCGCCCGTCGCTACTACCGATTGAATGATTTAGTGAGGCCTTCGGACTGGCGCTCTTGGATTGTCGGCCCCGTTGCCCGCGAGGGTTTTCTGGGGTCGTCGCCCCGAGCTGACGGAAAGATGTCCAAACTTGATCATTTAGAGGAAGTAAAAGTCGTAACAAGGTTTCCGTAGGTGAACCTGCGGAAGGATCATTAACAGAGAGAAAGAGAACGGGGCGCTCTTAAAACTACTACTACTCTCCTGATTTGGGCGGTCTCGGGCTCTGCTCTGGCAACTCCAGCAGCGAAAGAGGACAATCCCGGCCCCCGCACCAAAAATAGGTACCACCACGCTGTAGGTGGACCACACTCGGGCGAGAGCGCGAAGACCGGAGGAGGAGGACGGACGGGGCTTTGGACGGCTGCCCGTCCGTTCCTTACTACCGGCGAATAAGCCTCTTGACCCAAAAAGAGTGAAATTCAAGTGTCACAAAACAACAACAAGCCGTCCGGCCAAACCCAAACCACAAACTTGGGCTATGTCTGTCAAACCTTTCATTGAGACTCGACTCCAGATGGTTAGTTTTAAAAGACCAAATGGCAAATACACAACTCTTAACGGGGATCACTCGCCTGTGGGTCGATGAAGACCGCGAGCAAACTGCGTGTCGGTATAGAATCTCGCAAGAATACCAGACATCGACAAGTTGAACGGCGACGCGCGGCGGCAGCCATATGAGCTGCCGCCGCCAACTTCACGAGGGTCGGAAATATACATCCACGGGTTGCTGCGAGTTCGGTGGCTCAAGCGACTGTCTCCCCGGCTAACGCAGGGTAACTCCAACCGAGCTCTGCCTGGGGTTTAATCGCCCGCGCTTTGCGAGGGCGTGCGTTTCTTAAAACAAGCAAGTTTATCACTAGCAAGTCCATGGACTTGGCGCACCCACATTCAACCACAACAAAGCGACAGTTGTCGCCCTCGCAAATAACTGGAGGCGGCGCTCTTTTGCCTGCTGTCCACAGAGACACGAATGGCCGTCGGCCGCTCATGGCTGATGCTGCACATGTTCTAAGAGGCACTCCATCCCACGAAGAGGAAACGAAACCGGGTCGGATATCTTTTAAGCAAGCCCCGCCGGAATTTCGTCTATCACCTCGAAAAGAGTGCTTGGCATGCATTG